GCATAACATGGTATGGTATTAATCGTAGATGTTTATCCCAAGTCCAGCCATTTATTTGATTCTTTTCCCTAAGAAGGTGTTTGTTCTGAATGAGATGACTGATTCAACCCTTTTTTTTTCCTCCCTCTTGAAGAGTTTGCTGAATGGGAATGAAAGAGGCAGCTGTCCCTGAATGAGTAACCACTTCAACTTTGCATTCCAAGCAGTTTCATGTTTCTGCCTTTTTTTTTCCCCTCACTGTTACATGACTAAGAGGTGTTGTAGTGGTTGCTATAGTCATGGCTGGAAACTCCCTTTGCACAAATCCTTTATATATAAATAAGTGATTTTTATGGCTTAAAAAAAAAGCCTTGGTGAGCTCAGCTGATGCTGACAGCAGCTCTGGGATGGTCTCTCACTAAATGCCTGATACCCAATCCCAATCCTCATTTTCCACGTGTCCCAGAGCAGATGCATGACTAAGTCTTAATGTCAGTATTGTCTCTTTCTTGATGTTTTTTTTCTGTACAAAAACTTTTAGGGATTTATCTCTGTGATTTGACTGCCTTAAGGGCCAATAGAATCTGTGTGCCCCAAACAGGCACAGCAGCACCATCTTTATATCCAGGATAATTTATAAGGACATCTCCTCCTTGTACCTCCTTAAAACTTAGATGTTTCAAGTATTTCACATTTCAAACGAGAAGGAGGATCAGCAAAATGAAGTGAGCAGCAGCTAAGAATGGAAATCATCATTTGGCACTGCTGGTGGACAGTGGCTCAGTGTGAGCCAACAGTGTGGCCAAGAAGGCCAATGGCATCTTGGCCTGGATCAAGAATCTTGTGGCAGCAGGACTAGGGCAGTGATCATCAGACTCAGCACGGGGGAGGTCACAGCTCAGTGCTGTGCTCAGCTTTGGGCCCCTCACTGCAGAAAGGACATTGAGGCACTGGAGCGAGTTAGTTTTGTATATTTGGCTTTAATTGACTAAACCATATGAGCAATTACTACTTCAAAAGTGCTTATAAAATTGCAGTGTCCTAGTGCTCTAACTGGCAGCAGTTTTCATGCCTTCTTCAAATGCTCACAGACTCCACCCTGGTCATAAACAAATTCCCACTACTCCCTCACCAGGTGAGCTCTCTCTCCTTTCCACATAGAGTTTAGTCCTCTGGCTTTCCAAATCATGGAATCATAGAACCATCAAGGCTGGAGGAGACCTCTAAGATCATTGAGTCCAACCATTAACTGTCACTGCTGGAACCACTAAACCCTAACCCAGATCCTGCAGTGCCACATCAGACACCTCTGAAACACCTCCAGGGATG